ATAACTTTATCTACCTTTACTCCCCAAAAAATATTTGTTAGTTTTTAATACCTGCAAGAGTTTTTTTTTAATTTATCATTAACTAATTAGTTTAACGCCAAAAAATAGAAAGTATTGTTAGTTAATGTAAAGAAGGAATATTTTAAATTATGATAATTGAAAAAAAAATAGGAAACTAATTTAATTATGCAATATGTTTATTATTTGATATAAAAATTAATCATACATTTTATTTCCATTTTTTACTAACTCAATAATTTACTTTTTAACATTATATTTTATTTAAAATAACTATAGTTTATTTAGAGCTTATAATTAATGTTTTATGTATTAATTCTGATATTATAACATATAACCATTAATAGAGTATTTTAAGTGCTGAGTTTAACTAAGTAAAATATTTCATACTTTTTTACAAATAACTAATTACATATAATTTATTTTTATTTTTAACGTCAATAATAAACTTTTTCAAACTTTTAAAACAATTATATTATTTTTTATTTCAAATATTATTTAAATAAAATTGTTACAGATAAGTTTTTTTTTATTTTGTAGCTATATATTTATCATTTTATAAGTGAAGAACAATTAGTGACAAAAATATATTAATATATCATGAATAAAATTATTTTATATTATTTTTAAATTAGACAGAGGAAAAATATGGTTACTTTTGTATTGCATATATTTTTAATGTATTATAATTAGTAATTCGTATAACACATAAAGAACACTTTACTTATCATAAGATCAATTGTTGAAAAAAAAATCATAAGTTCAGTCCTTCTTCAAGAAAACAATATTTTCTTTCTTCACTATAAATAACTTATTTGTTTACTTAGAGAGCTTTAGACTTTATGGCTCTTATCTTAATTCTAGCACAAAATTCCATCTCAACATAAAATCACATTTATGTGTAAGTCATAAATGACTTGTTTATGAAAGAAATACTCGTGTAATTAGTTTGAGAAATTAAGTAAAAAATACTTATATATTGTAACGAGGGTAACCTTTAAAAATACTCATATAGTATCAAGGAGTAACTTTTGAGAATACTTTATTCAACATATATTTGTGGAACTTTATTGGTTTGGTAAAAAAAAAAAGTTGGAGGTAGTTTCACATTGAGACAAATCAATATAAAATATTTATGTTCTTTCTTTTCTCTTTATCTAATCATAAACTTATATTTTTCCATTTGTGAAAAAAGTTTAATTTGATGTCATATGTTGATTTTATTTTATTTTTCATTTGTGCACACATTAAACTCGAGTCTTATTCCTCTTTTATCATTACAAAAGTGTAGATAGTTTTTCCTTTTTAGTGAAAATGTTTGAAAATTCATTAAAAACACAATTGAATCTCTTGTATTCTTTTTGTATTTTACAATTACTCTATAAATTATACCTGCATAAAATCTCTCTTATAAACTTTTGATTCTTCAAACAAGATTTAACACGTAAAAATTATAAGAATTATCATATTTTAGATATATTTATAGATGTTTACAAGGAAGTGAATAATTTGATCTACAATATATGATAATAAATATGAGAAGTTTGTATTTTAGTGAAAGTAACATAAAAATCCACAGGTTTAGTTTCAAAATATATATAGAGAGAAAAGCGGGTTAGGTATAAAGGATAAACTTTAGATATATTTTTTTATAGAAAGGTCAAAACACACCCTATATCCTACTATTAATATAACTTATTGATAAAATAAATTATCACAATTTAATTTAATAGTTTGTTCAACTATATGACGATTTTTAACAAACTTATCTTTACTATATTTTTAATTTGCAATTTATTTTACATTGATAATATGCAAAACCATATTTTCCCATGTAAAAGTAAAAATTTAAGTGACTTTTTACATGTGCAAAACCATACTTGTTTTGTTTTCAATTTGAAGAACTGGTCTATTGAAACTTAAATGAATGTGGGCATGTGAAATTTGCAACTGATGATATCTCATTTCATTATCATCTGTACCATTGTCAAATCAAATAGGGAAAGTGGCATGGTTCAAAATTTTAGTTTATGGGTAAAAAGTTGTTGCATGTAAGTGCTATGAAAAAGTTGCATTATAGTTTGTAATTTTGATACATAAGAGAAAAACAATGAATTCAACATTAAGATGGGTTCAAAAGCCGCGAGTAAGAACCAAGATTTAAGGAAGAAGTCAAGAAGATGGGAAGAACATGGTTTTGGAAAAAATTAGGAGTTTTTTTATTTAAAAAACCAACAAAAAACATTATATTATGTTTTGTGGCTATTTATATTAATCAAAAACGAAATTTCAAATCAACCTTAAATTTAAGGTGTAGAACTGTATTAGGTGGCAATTTCTTTCTGCATCTTCATAAATTTTTTCTAATACCCCATATAACCCGCCTAGCCCCAAACCTATACTCTTTATAACACTTTCTGTACTACTAACCAAAATTTGTTACAAACTATTTATGAATATAATTAATTCAACATGTATAATTTTCAATAAATGTTAACTGAATATATATATATATATATATATATATATATATATATATATAATGTGTATATATATAATGTGTTTGAAATGTATAATTTGAGCAATACTGTATATATTATGGTTTAGAAATGATTATGATACTTTGACAAAGGCTTGCTTTTATAAAGACAACTTGAGAAAAGTGAGTTTCTTGGAAACTTAAAATCAACTTAGGTAATTTGATTTGTAAAACACACTTTAAGATAATATTTTTAAACAAAAGTAAAATTGTAATTTTTTTGTTCTGAAAGAAGATAGGGTTAAATATGTTTTTAGTCCCTAAACTATTGGCTGTTTCTGGTTTTCGTCCCTGTTTCAAAGTAAGGTACAATTTGGTCCTCATTCTTTTTGAAACGTTCGTTTTAGTCCTCGAAAACTAAACAGTGTTTAAAAATTTGGTTCTCATTTAGCAACAAATGAGGACTAAAACCAAAATTCCGAGGACTAAAACGAACGTTTCGAAAAGAATAAAGGACCAAATTGTACCTTACTTTGAAAGAGGGACGAAAACCAGAAACGACCAATAGTTTAGGGACTAAAAACATATTTAACCCAAGAAGATATTTATATTGGGTGTTTACCTACTAACTTCTTTGATCAACTCATTCTCATATCACACTCAATGTGTGTTTTAAGGCTGTATTGAATTTCTTTTTAAGAATTCATGACAATTAATTAAATCAATTGAGTTTTTTATACTTTTTTTAATAAAGTGATTAATTCTTTTATATTCATTAAATTTCTTTATAGATGATTTATAAAAAAATATATAATAAGATTTCCTTTCTTGCTGTATACTTTTTCTTAGACAATTATATTGTAATTTCTTTTCTTAGGAGTAGCAATACATTCTTTATTATTTCTCTTAAATCCTCATTCATAATGGAGTTAAAAAAAAAAGCATTGGATACTGTTTTTTTAAGATTTTTTTCCCTCTCGTTTTTGTGGATACTGGTTTTTTAACATGAGTATAATAATGTAATACTTTTTTAGTATTGTTTGCACAAATAGTTTGCATTACAGAAACATGTTTACATTTTGTGCATGTGTATATTGTACTTATAACTCATAAACTACAAGAAAAGAAGTTATNAATTTTCATACATAAATATAAGAAAGCAGTTTACCATGTCCTTAACAGACTAAAAAAGTAAATTCATGACGCCTTTAACAAGATAACAGAATCAAATTATCATATTTAGACTTAGGGTCTTCAAGAAAAACTTCTTAACATGCACTTCTAAGAGAATAAAATAAGAACAATTTTTTTTCCATTAGTTAAAATTAGTTTGTATATAAATTAATTGTAGTTTATGGAAAAAAATTACTTTACTTTTATTTTTATTTTGTTCACCTAAAAGTATTTATGAAGAAATCGTAGTCAAATGTAATCCTTGATACAATTGAGATCTAACTAAAACTCAGTCACACTTATATCAGAGTCACTATTTCTCTAGGCCAGGTAGTAACAAACCTCAAAAATTTCGTTTGCCAGTTAGCTATTTCTTGCATTTTGGACCACAGATTGATATACCACACGCCCAATTCATTTGCGACCTCAACACAGGCATTAGCATATTGACCAGTTACTTCATTTGTTCTTTCAGGCACTTTGGTAGCGTTCTCACCATATTGGGATCTGCAAGACCCAACAAAATCATTCTAAACATGAAGTTAACTTCTGTTGAACACTTAGAAGCCAATCTAAATGTAAATTGTAAACTAACATAAGCTTTAAGAAAAACAGTAATGTGACACAGTTTCAATACAGAAGCTTTAGTCATATTAGCTACAGCAAAATCTTTCCCAATTAGGTACTGATAGTCACTAGCATACTGTGAGATTAGGTGGGTGGTATAGCAATAGACTACGATAGTGATGGCATGGACTTCAGGTGTGCATGACATGAACATAAATAATCAAATGGATGTTTGGAAAATATCAAGTAGGGCACACTAGCAGTTATAATGGCTGTGGATGTAACAATTATTGCATTTATTTGTGAAAAAAAAAGGAGTACACCCACCACTTTAGCCCCAGAGAGTGTAAATGTTGATAATTTTTGTTCTTGATCGTGCAAGTCTCATCCAATTTAATCATTATCCACCAACATTAAGTACTACAGTACACAATGTTTGATAAAAAGCAGTGACTTTTGTAAAGTAGGAAGTAACCTGAGCTTATAACCTCAGGGATTAAAGGGACTAAAATAGGGATTTACCTAAAAAGTAAATCTACTAGTCAATCAGGAGAAACAATTCCATTTGGTGATATAAATAGTCAAGCACATAAGACGATGTCTATAAAGGAAGGCAGATTATGAATACTAAATCTAACAGAAGCAATTCATAAGTACTTTGCATATTCCAGGCGTCCTTCCTCGCTGAGTGGAGGTGGAGTAATGAGCACAATTTGCATAGTTTGCGAGCATTCCTGAAACAAATTATCACATTTACAACAACAGATAATATAATGAGCACTTGGGAGGAAAATGGGAAAGGTTGTAACAGAGCTTGTTTGGAGGACTCGTGACAACGGAAAAATCCCCTGTAAGCTCTTTAGTTTATTTCAATAAGTTTCATGGTAAAAGTTGTGACAATCTTTCATGTAAAAATAGTTTGCTGAACAAGTTCTCAAATGTCCTGATATGCCCAGCCGTTTTACCAATACAAAGTTCTAAAACAACCAACAATAGGCCACTCAGTGAAAAAAATAAGAAAAACAACAACAAATCTAGAAGAAATCATAGGCCATTGAAAGCACAAGATAGAAAATCATCAGAATCATTCGATGAGTTCAATGCTTACATGAAATCAAATTTTTGCAGACAACGCAGAGAAAAATTAGAGTTAACATGTTGGATGGATAATTCAGAAACTGGTGAAATTTAAATCTAAAAATATTGAACAACTAAACGTAACCTTCAAGTGTCGAACAAATTTTCTAAGGTTCTCTTTGAATTCTTCAATAGGTACATGTTGCCTTTCACTGGTTCTTCCTAACAAAGCTGCATCATTAGCACCAAAGAAGATTGTGGTAGCAATAGGTGGTGTAGTTGAGTCCTGGAAATGAAGTCATACAAACAACTAAAAATTCACAAGATCAATAAAATAATTTGCAAAAATAAACGAAGGCCTTATTTTTAGGCAATAGAAGACTCTTTTTTTGGATTGGGGCGGGGAGGCTGGGTGATGTGGACCCTTCCTGTTCCAAAACTGTTATGTAAGCCTATGAAAAGTTCTATCAAATCAAATTTGGTTTTCTAGTCTGGTCCATCACCCTAAATGCTCAAACAGATTAATTTTCAATTACGAATTTCAAGATATGAGTTAAATTCATATGCAAAAAGTTTGTTACCTAACATGCTTCATGTTTTCGCAGACACCCGATTGACAAAACAAAGTAATGAACTATATTGGCTTAATTAAGTTTTGGTATTATCAATTGATGTCCTTGTTAGAATTCTTGTCTTATTGGGTGCCCAATTTTCCTTTCATTTTTGCCTAAATACCTATTGTTTGATTTTGCGGGAGCCCGTGTAATATACTTAAATAAAAATAAAAAAGTTGTATACGCTCAACAGAACAAAAACTTCTAATGAGACCTCAGTTCAAAATACTAAAATTTATAAAGTATTTAAAACTTAATTAAGGAACCTATATTTTAAAAAGGAAATTATTTGATCTCATCATATTATACCGAAGCATGTTTTACCCATAGTAGCTACTCGACTAATTCCAGAGCGACAGGAGATTTCTCTAGGAGGGTTGTCTATCAAATGGGGAAAGTGACAAGAGATCCACAGTCATGGGAAATGTAAGATTTCATCCTCGGTCACTCACTTGTCAACCCACATTGGCCTTAAGTTATACAAACTTAGTGTGACGTGACTGAGACATAACTTCAAATACCATTTAGTTATTTTCATCATCAAATATAAAGTCAGCTTAAAGAAAAAATCAAATGAGGTTAAAAGGGGGCAAATGTGCACACACCAACAGGAAGAAACATGATTTAGGTGAGAATAAGATACCAGAGGGAAGAGGTGCTTCAGTAAGAACATAGCCCACCTAGTGTTGTATCCACCATAACCACGAACAAGTATATCAGCCTGAAAATGCAGATCATTAACTGTGACATATATTAATAATTTAAGAAAACGGATCTGACGTGTGAGAGTGTTTGACTGAGAAGAAATGTTACCCTGCGGGAATAGGCATTGGCTAGCGGAACACCCCATCCATTCTCTCGGATCGATTGCTCCGTTATGGAATCTCCAAACAACACTATCTTTGGCCTCATCATCGTGTTCGCGCACGCGCCAACGCGATTCTATGTTGTCTTCACTGTTCTTTCACTCCGCACCATTCAACACTAAGATGATCTTGCATTGAAGGACATTACTGCCCTAAATCTGACACGTTTTACACGATGCATCATTAGTTACCAGAGATCGCTTTTTTTTTTTTTCTTTTCTTCCACCGATTCCATCCACTGGCTTCACAATGACTGCTCACCCTCCTGTACTATGCCTTTCAAGTTCAAAAATATCTCAGCTATTCTTTAATTCTTAATATTTACTATTTTTAATTGTAAAATAAAAAAAATCTTGAATGAATGGTTAGATTTCAAAATTTGGAATTCTCTAATATTTTTTAAAACATTAATAAAATAATTATATGTGTGTTTACTAATAAAGTACCTATTTATATAAGTATTAACAATAAAATTTAACTTATGTGTTAAAAGTTCAAAGTATTGTGTTAAAGCTATTAAATATGTGTAATTATCTTAATTATGAAAAAGAATTAAACTAAACTAACGAATTAAGATTTTTTAATACTATATTTTAATTATTCTTAGTTATATTATATAACTAAACCTAATATAATTAAAATTATATAAACTTTAAGTTTATTTTTCTATGCCAAATAAATATATCATATATTATATATTAATATAAGTTTTATATATATATATATATATATATATATATATATATATATACACTCAACTAATATTAAAATCAAATCTTAATAGGAATAATTATAAACCATGAATTCTCGTGACAATTCATATCTCTTTAACAATTAACAAATATCATACACTTGAAATAGACTAAAGTTGTATTTGTTTAAAGAGATAAAATTGTTGAGGTGGGTGTGTGTGAGGATTGCAAGTGTTCGTTGTGTTCGTTTGACTGCCTGTAGAAAGAGTGAAGACACGAATTAATAGATGGATGAGATTTTGTAATCTTTGAAGTTGTATGGATTTAAGTGGATTGAAGAAGAAATTCTAAAATAATCCTACACCATTATTATATTTATTTGAGAAGATATTAGGTTATATTAAGAGTGTTGAAGGAAAAGTCATATTCATTAAAGAGGTTGAAGATGAAGGTGGCGTTCATGAAGGTTGCATAGTGGTAGAACTGATTTCACCAAAGCCTTATTCGATTCCAAGACTTGTTCAAAACACACAATGCAGTGGATTTGGTTCCTATGATGTTGTATTCGGTTACAACTATGTGTATTCGATTTCACAAAAGTGTATTCGAATATATCACCCTTTATTGGTTTTCTTTCTTTCGTATTCCGTTATATGGTGATGATATTTAGTTTCAATATTATAATAATAATAATAATAATAATACTTTTACTAGTAAGGATATTTTAATAATTTTTAACTTTTATCCATTAAATTATTATTTTTTATCTGTCATATCATAAATTTTATTTCTAAATCATTCTCACTCACCTCCAAATCTATTCATAAAAACAATCATCAATTTACTTTTAAATATCTTCAAATTCATTAACTTCTTCTCTCTCTTCCCTTAATTGATGTTCTCAAACATAATTTCAATTAATGATGGATTGACGAAGTTAAAAAAAAAAATGAATTTTAAGAGTATAGTTAAAAAAAATGATTTTGACTAGATAGATTATATAATATAATTTAAATGGATGGTCATGAAAAGAAATATTTAAGATTGATTTGATATCTCTTGTTGTCTTTCATGAACCAAATTCCAATCAAGTCACTCACAAGGACTCTACCAAAATCAATGTTAGGAAAAATTAGTGAAATAAATGAGAATAGAATGTGTTATGTGATTTGTTAAATTAAACCTACTTATATGACTCACTTATATAGAATATGGTCTATGCAGAACTTTTATACACAGAATATTTTAATTTGACATTTTAGGTCTCTATTTCCTTCTTAGTGTTTGGTCAACATTTTTGCTTTTATCGAGGTTGTCTTTCTTAAAAAAGATTAATATTAGTGGATGATGGGTTAACATATGTAAAAAATATGATATTAATTTCAATCCCAAAGAAAATAATAAATTTATAAATTGACTTAATTTTGTAATTTTTATTTAATTTAGGTTTTATATTTATACTTCAATTTCTAATATTTTTATTTTTTGTCTTCTTAAAAAAATTGACTTTTATTTATTCACTTGAATAAATTTGAGAGACAGTGATTAATGGGATTTGAAAGTAAATTTGTTTGTTGTTTTTTAATCTGTCACATTAAACAAATTCTACACTATTTATCAAAAACTTTACTTTACTTCTAAATTCACTCTCACTTACTTCCAAATCCATTCAAATAAATAACAAAAAATTTTATTTTCAATTTTTTTCAAATTTCTCCGTCACTTTTCCTCGAATCTATTTAAATGAATAAAGTCATAGAGAATTATGGTTAAAACGTGTACTTTATATTAAGAAAGTGATCACACGTGTTCTGTTTGCATCCTTGGTGTGTTTGTTGTAAGCAATGATAAGATTACAACTTGGTAGAACAGAGTTTGAGTACGTTGGATAATAGTGATAGTAGTGCGTATCAAAGATAGTGCAACGAGAGTTTGATTTCCACTAAGCTATGTTCCATATCATGGATCAAGAGCGCCACCATCTCTCATCTCCTTCCAGGAAACAATCTTTTTTAAATATCTCCATGAAATCACATCACATCTTTTACTAAGTAGACAATCACAATGATCAGAATTCACTGTCAGACCGCATTAAAGAATAGGACCGTATACTCATGATTCCATATGTAAGTCGTAGTTAGGTTACCATTTCTCTTAAATTGAAAAATATATCTCTACCATGGAAATTGGTTAATACCGTAAACATGATAATCTTATCACCTTACATACTGAAAGATGTTCAAATTTCACCTGAGGCAACAAAAGTAAAAGGACTTCAGGCATGGTAGGCATTAATCTGTATCATAAAGTTGATCTATGAATATACTCGCTGACAATTACACTTAGTGGAAATTAGCATATGAATTTTAAATTTAACTTAATTTTATTATAAATTTATTTTATTTTTAGTTGATGTGAAATCTATTTGAATATAAAATTAAATATTAATTAATAATTTAATAGTAGTTAAAATAAAAATTGTTAAAATATGATTTTAGATGATTTAAATATTATTTTAAAAAGTGAATTTTAAAATAAAGTTTATAAATTAATTTCAGGTCACGTTTTTCTAATCAATCATCTTTAAAAAGATGTTATTGGTACAAGTGATAAGATAAATTTAACAAATAATAATATTTTTATGACTTTATAATAAGAAATATTTATAAAATTAATTTTATAAAATAAAATTTGCATCATTTATTTATATTTATTTATGTAAATTTGTTTTATCTCAAATCTATTTGAGATATTAAATAATTACTTATATTTGTCTCGTAATATTCAATAATTACTTACTAGATTTTAACCACTAATGAACTTACCATTTTCATGAACCTCATGTGGCCATAGCACAAGTGCAATTATAGTTATCCATGATTATTTACTGATATCTCTAACCATTTGTAGTCCATCATGTAGGCGCATATATTAACTTCTCCAGCCATTACCGGAAAGCAGAAACAGGTGCAAGTCTGTCTACAGCTTTGAAGGGACTGCCTGATGCTGACGAAGAGAAGCGCTAAATTTGAGGATGAGAGTTGGGTGACGAATGTAGGACCAGAGGTTCACTTTCATTACAATTTCAAACTAATGCTGTCTGCACAAGTTTCCAACCAAGAAAAGCCAAACTCTAGATAAAACCACGTGTGACATCATAGTACTGCGCATGCTATCATTCCCACTATTTGTTGAAATCAGCACTTCTTCAAATTAGCTTTATTTAGTATACATACATATAGAAATCAAAATCACTGTATTTCTTTTTAAAGTAACTACGATGAAAGAATTGATTTAATGAGTGTTTGAAACTATGCACCAATACATGAACCTGTTTCTCACCGGTGGTAAACAGAAAAAAGCAAACTGTTTGAAGCGCACTATAAAATGTTGTCTGCAATTTGGCTTTATAGTCTTACAAAGATTTAATTATAAGTTGATCTATACACTTGACACCTTTTATTTAGTCTCTAGTTGAAATTGTTTTTCATATTAGGCCCTACGTTCGAAAGAATCACACCTCATTTTTTTTCTCTCCGTACATTCTGGTACACCCGCACATGACTATTTTTCATTTTGGTCCCTACATGAAAAATACACTTAACTCCCTCATAACTATAGTAAACAAAAAATGGTGTCAAGTACGACCAAATTTATGATTAAACCGTTTACATATATCACAGAACATATGCAGTAAATTTCGCAACGAAGAAGGTTGAAGGCAAGGTCTATGATACACTGCGAACTAGCCATACATTCATACGATGCTTTATTTAGCAGCAAGGAGTAAAATAAATATTCATCAGATCTTTGTTTCAAAATCCCCTCGTTTTTCTTTTTCGTTTTTCCTTTGCAGTTTCCATATACACTACACGTAAGCAAACTTAAAGTCAGATTCAACACCATCTATCCATCAACTCGAAATGCCCCTGATCATTCTGTATAAAGGTATAATGAAGTCAATATGGTTAAAGATTGAAAGGAAGAAGAGTCAAAGATAAACATCTATAAGATAACTTGTATTACATCAATCAAGCTCATGACCTATAGTGCACTACTTAAAACTATTTTCAACGGACTTAAGGAAACCCTACAAGCTTTGAAGGTGGAACCTCTGAAATCTTGTCCAAGAACAGTGGCTGTGAATTAGTACTTCTCTTGAAATGACCTCCTTCATGATCTTGATTGATCCTTGGCGGCTTTCCCCTCTCAATTGATTTACTCGAGGGCAATGAATCCTATGAGCTATTTGCATAAGCAGGAATAGTATGTCCACATGATGTTGGAGTTGAATTCCTCGATTTCTGATTTACGATCTCCCCACGACTCCTTGTGATAATTTCATCAAGAATTTCCTCACTATTAATATTGACTGTTGCTGTCTGACTATCTGAATCCTGTGAGGTATATAAGCATCAATCTATGAACAAGATCTTCGACAGATTCATATATGTAATATAATGTTATGCAGTATGAATATTTTGTCGTCTATCTAAGCAAGCTGAGTTTGTATTCCACCCATCAGAAGTCCAGAGAAAGCCCTTTTCTAATCAGAAAAATCATGTTTGG